AACGAGCTCTCCCTGCCCCGTGACCCGGCCTTGCCGAGCGGCCCTGCTCCACGCCCTGACCGCCTCACCTGTTACGGAGCCCCAGGCGTTAAAAATCAGGGATAATAATAACTTCTCTACGTTTAAGGACCCTGTGATTGCTAGATGTGGCTGTGCGTACTTATGGGGGCCACTAGGTGTGTGTGCGGGAAGAAAAAAATATTTTTCATATCAGGATATAGCGAAAAGATTCTTGTTTTATGATATAACCATTAATTTTTCGTTCATGTTTCATGGCATTGGAATAGTGCTGTGTCTTAGGAAAACAGCTGTCCAGAGCCTGAGTTGTAACCAGGGGCACTAACAATCTATGTAATTACAAAAACCAAAACAGCTAATCAGTGTAAATTCCAGAGCTCTCTTTGCACCTCAGGGTGGCCCTGGAAGGAGCGGGGGCGGCACCGTGCTGCATTTTTGAGTTACGAACAAAAGCATAGCCCTGAAAGACTGGGTTTTGGATGTCTTTACACTAAAATCTAGAACCTACCCATGTTCAGCCCAAATTACTTTGCCGCTCCGTGCAAAATAAAGGTTGTCAGTCCCTTCCTAGCACTGCTTGACATCTGGCAGCTTTTGTAAAACGTTGTGGAAGGGTACCCCAGGATCCCCCACCCCTGTGATCCTGCTGTGTTGAACAGCTCATAGTGTTGATGTTGAAAGACCTTGTTATTGTAATAAATGCAGTGATGGTGATGATGAACAAAACCAAGGAGAGTTGGCCAAAAAAAGGAGGGGAAAAAATCTGTTGAGATTGATTAAAACTCTTTTTCTGATAATGAAAGTTCAGTAGGTCAATTAATCTTTCAAGTAAACGAAGCCTTTTGTAAAACATTCGGCAACATCCACATTTACTTTAGAACTGGGAGACTTCCAAAGCCCGTAGGCATCACTTCTGATTTTTTTGAGTGTTAAACAGTTCTAAGTATTTTTTTCTAAAATAAGTCATACATAAGTTCTCCCAAAAATGGGTGAAGAAAGCATAGTGCAAAATGGTGACAAACCAGAAGATTAGGGCTGCAGATGTAAAATGTGTGGTCAAACAGGCAGGCACCTAGGATTGTCACTTGAAGTGATGTAGTTTTTATCGCTGTTTTCAGCCATTGGTGAAAGGGCTTGCACAATTGCCATGAAACACCTTACTCATTTCCTTATTGCCTGAAGCTGAGTACATACGAAACATCTGTAAGTGCAATTTTTCACCTGTGCTTCACCTTTTTTTACCCTGCTGTTCATTCATTCAAATGTAGAATTTGAAACTGCGGAAACTCTTCTGAATTCAGAAGTACATATGCTTCTTGAGCATCGTAAGCAACAGAACGAGAGTGCGGAAGATGAGCAGGAGCTTTCGGAAGTCTTCATGAAAACCTTGAACTACACGGCTCGCTTCAGCCGCTTCAAAAACCGCGAAACCATTGCCAGTGTCCGTAGGTGAGTAGAGAAGTCAGGGTCTAAGGCCGCACTGCAGACTTTGGTGTATAGTGTTGATACTGCTTTAGGACAGTACAGTTTAATGGTGTTTTCCTGATTTGTACTATAATTGTGAATCTTGTCTTTCTGAAGAAGCAAGAAATTCGATCACACTTCTTCATGGAGGGTTATACTTTGTGTAGGTCAAGCCTTCTGACCTGCTTTGTTTTCAGTATCTAAATGCCAGCTGATTGCATTAAGTGGGAGGATTTTCTAGACTAGAAGAGTAGAGTACTTCAGGGGAAGAGAGATAACAGATGTGACTTTTTTTTTTCCTCTATGCGACTCTGTAATGAGTCTTTCCTCCTGAAGAAAACATTGACTTCAGTGCCAAAAGCAGAGTGAAGAAAGATAACTGAGGAGGGCCACGAAGATGCTCAGAGGGCTGGAGCCCCTCTGCTATAGGGACACGCTGAGAGAGTTGGGCTTGTTCAGCCTGGAGAAGAGAAGGCTCCAGGGAGACCTTATTGCACCTTCCAGTACCTGAAGGGGCTACAAGGAAGCTGGGGGGGACTTTTTACAAGGGCCTGTAGTGACAGGACAAGGGGTAACAGGTTTAAATTGAAAGGGGGGAGGATTAGATTGGACATCAGGAAGAAATTCTTCACAGAGACGGTGGTGAAGCACTGGAACAGGTTGCCCAGAGAAGCTGTGGATGCCCCATCCCTGGAAGTGTTCAAGGCCAGGCTGGATGTGGCTTTGAGCAACCTGGTCTAGTGGAAGGTGTCCCTGCCCATGGCAGGGGGGTTGGAACTAGATGATCTTTAAGGTCCCTTCCCACCCAAACCATTCTATGATTCTATGATAACTATATTATTTAGTTTATGCGCTTTTATATTCCTATCTCACTTCTGGTTTCACCAAGTTGTCCCTCCTTACAGTTTGCTGCTCCAGAAAAAGCTCCATAAATTTGAATTGGCATGTTTGGCTAACCTGTGTCCTGAGACAGCTGAGGAAGCGAAAGCTTTGATTCCTAGGTGAGCATTTACATGTCATAAAAAGCCTGTTTTGTTCTTTCCTGTGAGCTAAAGCCAGCGATGGGCAGGTGCCCTCTGTTCAGTTCAGCTCTGTGATGGAAAAACATGTCCTGGTCTTGGTCTTTTCTTTACCTACCCGTTGATCTGACAGCGAGGCAGTGTTTGTAACTGTCTCTAATGTACTTCTGACAACATTTAGTAGATTAAGTGTCAACAGCTTAAATTGGGATTCTTAGCCCAACCAGCTGTGTTTGTTGTTGTTTTTTTTTGATGGAGCAAATAACAACATTCCTATGAACTGTTTTGTGGATAATGTACAGAGAAGCAGCAACTTCTTCTTACCTTGATTTATTAGGTCATGGCCTGAGATAGAGGAGGAAATGAAACATTCGTCTGAGTTAACAGTTTCTTCCTTATGTGCTGTCATAGCAAGGCTAGACTGGCTTTTGAGCATGCAGCTGCAGGGGCTTCATTTAGAAGTCTGCGTAAACCTGCACCTGCCTTCCCTTTTTGATAAAACAGAGTTCTGGGAAGGATGGAGCGTTGTAATGTAAAAAGGAGGCACTGAGTAGGGATCAGAGTGGGTTTGTATGGGAATGTTACAGTTGTGGTGGTACCATATAGGTGGGTGTTGATGGTGTGGAGACTGACAGGAGGGAATTACGGCTGGCTGAAAGGAATCCGGGAGGGACACTATTCTCAAACCTTTAATGTAGCCTCATTGTTCTTATCTTGCAGCCTGGAGGGCCGATTTGAAGATGAGGAATTGCAGCAGATTCTTGATGACATTCAGACTAAACGCAGCTTCCAGTATTAAGGTTCACCCTTAACTCCCCTTCATCTGAACAGAAAAACCTGGGAACTTTGTTTCTCAGCCCCCTGGACCAATCCAGCCCCCAGCTGAGTAAGGGGAGTTGTGGATAAGGGGTACTGCAGTGCTGTGTCATCCGAGGGTGCGTTCAGAGCGGAGATCAGTGTAGTCCTTGTGGTCTGTTCCACCCGTATGTTGGTAAGGATGCCTGTATTTAAGAGCCACAGAACCCAAAGGGCTTTTTCCCGGTGGCTCAAACATTTGTTTCTTTCAAATCCCTCTCCCTGATTTGGAAATTTTCAACACATTTCTGGTTTTTAGCAGAAATGTGGATGTGACCTTTTTGTTTGTAAACTTCTAAGAAATGGAAAAACTTGTTCTCTTGGAAGGTTTAGTTGTGGGCAGCATCAACTTCTGTGGTGGTTTTTTTTTGTTTGTTTGGGCTTTTTATTTGTTTGATCAAAACAGTGGATTTTTACAGCTTCAATAATTTTCTGTTATTGTTCAATGTAAATTAAAAGCTATTTTTAATTAAGGCTATGTGTTTTATAAACATTAGGTGCATATAATGATTTTATTAATGAGGATCTTTTTGATACACAGATTCTGTGATTATTAACCTGTGTTGGAGATCTGGGGACTCCGAGTGTGTAATAATGCAGGTACAGTTTAGGACAGGCCAGAGCGAAGCTTTTATGAACTGTGACCACAGTGACAGAACATTTGGGCAGCATCTCCCTCTCTGCTCTCTCCCATCACTGTTCTCTCCCAAGTGATCACAGAGACCCAACCTGTAGACTGTTTCAGAAAATAAAAAGGTGAGGATAAACAACACTTTTGATGTTAACAAAGCCGGGTAGCCATCCCGGGAGGGACGCACTCCTTAAATAGCTTGCTAACTGCCACAATTCTAAGCAGGAATCAAACTGTATATAAGGTGATGCTATGGATAGATGGCTCTTGGTGGAGCCTGTGGGAGCGTCACACCCAGTATATCTTAGTGGGGCGTTGGCAACAATCACAAACTGTTAGCTTTCTAATTAACCACAGTAACTTTAACTGCATCAGAATAATTTTAACTAAAGAACGAAGATACAATCAAGGTGTCATGGTGAATATTTTATAAAGCTCAGTGGCCCCTTTTGATACAGGCCCCTTTTCCAGTAGCTGCTCCCACTGTAACTCGGTTTGCCCCATAAAGTGTTTCTGTTCAAGCCTCTTGAAGAAATTTTCTTCCTAAATACACAGGCACTCCTCATGACAACTCATTTTTATACAGGTCAAAAAAGCCGTTCTGCACCTCCTCACCCACACCTCTGGGTGAAAGGACAGGGTCACTGTAACTGGGAGACATGAGTGCTTGTTGACACCTCTGTAATCGATCCGCCGGCTCCCAAGGAGGAGTGTAGCAGACGTAGTGCTCCCACAGTGATCTCAAGAGATTTGCACCAGCCTCCACGAACAGATAACTACGGGCATGGAGATTGGTTGTTCTTGGCTGTTGTTTTGAAACCTGGTGATCAGGACGGGGAAGAAGCGAAGATGTCCAAGGGAATTGCGTGAGGTGCGATTCTGTCGTAGCAGTTAGGTGAGACGATGCGGTCTGGAA